GTACCACCAATATATTTAAGGGTACCCCTCCGCTCAGTTTGGGCTTTCCGTAGAAATGCTGTGAAATAAAACCTAAAACTCACTAAAACTTCATGTTTTCAGGACTGATTGGAAACTCAATGGAGCACTTTTTCGTTTTTGTTTCAAGCTTCTAACTATTGCCATTCACCAGTTTTCCAGAAAACTCGGTTTTTCGTTGGATCACATTATGACCCCCCTTAAATTTCATCCGATCAAGATGGATATTTTACCGTAGGTACCCAAGATCATAGCGCAGAGGCGTAATTCTGCAATTTTCTTTTAAACCTTTCTTTACCGAGTTACAGGGAAAATACCGAAAACCTTTCAAAAACCCAGTTTTTAAATTTTAGAAATCCTATAACTCGGTAAAGAAAGGTTTAAAAGAAAATTGCAGAATTACGCCTCTGCGCTATGATCTTGGGTACCTACGGTAAAATATCCATCTTGATCGGATGAAATTTAAGGGGGGTCATAATGTGATCCAACGAAAAACCGAGTTTTCTGGAAAACTGGTGAATGGCAATAGTTAGAAGCTTGAAACAAAAACGAAAAAGTGCTCCATTGAGTTTCCAATCAGTCCTGAAAACATGAAGTTTTAGTGAGTTTTAGGTTTTATTTCACAGCATTTCTACGGAAAGCCCAAACTGAGCGGAGGGGTACCTTAAGTTACTACTAACGATATTATTGAAAATTTAGTCAAATTTTTCACTTGAACTCATACACTAATATTATTTTACATTAGTGGAAGAATTAATGCTAGTGAAATCGAAAAAATTGAGTTAATTGACTACAAAAGAAACTATATGAAAATGTTCTTGCATTATTAAAAGCAATTGTTCAGAATGTCCCATTATCAATTTACGCTGCCAAATATACCATCAATCAAATACTCTCCCTTTCACTAGACAATCAGCAAGCATCACATTGTTTTCAGAATGGAACAGAAAAAAAACAAAATCTATGAAAGCTACAAGACAAAAAAGTTGTTCTATAATGTTGCAATCTACGATACAGCCTTCTATTAATAGAATTTTGCTCTGACATTGTTCTCACACTTGTTATTAATCTCAAGACTGTAATTGGGGGAATTATATGTGTTGTTTCCATTTATTCTACTAATATAGTATTTTGGCATAGAATATATCAGTTAATATAATAACAAAAAACAAGGAGTATTTGTTATTTCATTGGTATTCATCATAATCACATGATAGAAAAAAATCACATAGATATGTGTTCGTTATCTGGTTGTTTCTTCTCACTCACTCTCTCTCTCTCTCTCTCTCTCGTCTCATGGTGGATAAAAACAAAAGAACTTTAGATTGGCATTAATAATGACTTTTTCATTTATTCTATTCCATCGAGATGCTAGATGGATGTTTTTAAAGAGAATTCACACATGGTGCGCTTTGAAATATAGGATTCCTTAGAAATAAATAAAAATGATTACTACAATATGGAAATTCAGTCACTATTTATATAACATTTGAAAAAAACAAATGTAAAATAATCTTTTGTGTTCTTTTGATCTGATATGCTCTACTATATGATAATCTTAAAAGTTTTGAAATTCTTTTTATGGATAAAGCAATCATGTTCTGAATAAATATGTTTGTCCTGAAAAACATTCACGATAATCATTTTCAGGCAGATTAACTGATTTACCTCATAGAACAATGTTCTTGGATAACTAACTACAAGTAAAATTATTTTTAGAGATATATTTTATTGATTATTTTTATTCATTCTATCAACAAAAACTAGAAATATTGGACACATAGCATATGCAATAATGAATTATATAATAAATGTATTTAAACAGTCGTATTGTTTTTCCTTTTTCTAAGTGATTGATGATAAATGATTATATACAAAAAACAAACAAAGGTCAACGAGTACGTAATAGATGTCTACATATGAGTAATTGATGAATAAGAAAAAAATTATTTTGAAAATAATTTATATTAAACTCGATCTGATATCTAACTGAGTCGATCCGTATTTCTGAAACTTACTGAATGAACTGAAAAGTGTGAATTAAAAGAGTATTGCGGTATGAAAAACATCATTTCAATATTAGAGAATGATATAGTTGATGATGTATAGAACTGTGGACAGCGGTATATTGGATGATATGGATATAAAACAATGTCAGAAAGAGTTTTTTCTAATCATTATGAGTGTATACATCTGAGTCAATGATTCTCTGCAATTCCTTGAAAAAATCCGTTAAGAACATTTAGAAGGAAACATTTAGAAAATTATTTTGTTAAATGGATACTCTGTGTCTATTATGCGAGATAACAACAGAACGGTAAATGAAGAGTGTCAGAGAGCCTCTAGAAAGTACACAATATTTTCGTACTTCCTGAAATATGTGAAATCGTAAGTTTTTGAACTATCTAAGAACTTCTTATGTTTCGGTGACAACTTTGGAGCTTCATTGAGGATTATAAGGTAGTGACACCTGATCAGTAACTCTCTTATCTGGATTAGTAATATACTCTAATGGTGTTATTTACATGACCGTTGTTTTCTATTGTTGTTGAGCTACATAATTTAGATTGACGAGCAAAAGGTTCTGTAAATGAGATAATAATATCTATCTCTACTATGTGCTTTTTAGATACTTGTATAATATAGCATTCGATTTCTTTTTTTTTCTGTTCTCGATATTTTCCAATAGGTATAAGTAAAAAGGGTATATCTTTTTGTCTTGATTTTATTCTATTATATACTCTTTGGACTTCGGCCAAAGAAAGGATGAGAGAGCGAAGAAAAACGCTGATCTATACAAATAATCTGATAATTTTTTCGTATGTTACTGTGTTGTTTTTTTACTTTGGGATGAAAAAAGTGATGTTTTATCTACCAGTAGTAATGTTAGTGTACATTGAGACGAAGATGAGCTAATAGTGTATACAAAAAGACAATAATTATCGAAAGTATTTTAAGAAGTTAAAAAAAGCGATAAAATTCTAGAGAAAGTAAAAATAGAAAAATAGTGATTTTATGTAGACTAGTCTATAAAGGAAGAAAAAAAAAGAAGTTTTGATTGTTCACGAGCAATTAAAATGAATGAGAAGTACGCAGTGGATGATTATGATCCAACTTCCTCTTTTGTAACCAGTTTCAAAATGTACAAGAAACTATAAATTAAATATTTCCGAATACATGCCGCAGTAATCAGTAAAAGGTTTAGGTACAGCCTATGTGTATACGCCATGATGAGAGATCAGTGATCTAGAGATAGAAGAGAATGTTTAGATGATTACTTCTATTTCTACAACGAGTATGAAATGATAATAATTCTTAAAAGTTTCACATTTCTTAAAAAGTTTTATTTCTTGTACCAGACTAGAAAATGGAACGATCATAGATTTTTCAATACGAATATTCATTGTCTTGTGTAAGTTGACAGAAAAATATTTAAAAGATCATAATCATTTGCCCTGAAATGATGGCTAACGTTTTTTATTAAATATACGGTAGATCTGCCTGAACAGAGAGGATTTTTGAGTGTAATAAAATGAAATGTGAATATGGCACGAGTGATATCATATTCTCATATTACCGACAGAGATAAAAAAAAAGTCGTCGTTGATTGATCATGAAAAATAGTTACACATTGAAAAATTGACTTTTGCCGAAAACGGTCTTATTGAATACGTCATATTTAGGAATGTATAAATCCAAAGAGAAATATTATACAGCATGGCAACTGCTGACAGCGATTAACATCGAGCCTTCAATTGTCTTTTAATTTTGTGTTGTTATTTTTGTCTTTCTCTTTCTCTCTTTCTCTCTCTCTTGTCGTGCCAATGGTCTGAGCACCATTGTTTTATATCAGTGTATGTCTCTCTCTGTGTTATTCTATCTAAATCCTATCTCAACTTTCTTTAACTCCATCCGATATATGTGAATATGATATCGAGCATAGTGCTTCCAATGGTGAAAACTGAGCACTTTCATGCTCTTCATTAATGAGGCATATTTTTTTTGTATATGTAAAACTTAAAATGCCTTTAGACTCTTAATCATTCAGCACGAGGAAGAATTATTCGTTCCATCGTACTAAGCTCAGCGAGCTACAAAGAAGTGGTCTGAAATTTAAAAACCAGTGCAACACTTCAAGAGCTTCTCTCGTTAGAAAAATATTCAATCGATCCAGCGATATCTTTTTACAGTGTAAAATAATTAAAGTTATCCGAAAAATTCAAAAAGATATCTTCTCAGTGTCGTGGGTTACCTTTTAAATTCTTTAAGAAATTAGCGTTGTCGATAATCTATATCTCATATTTGTATCTAATCGAATAATCTCTCCTCATAATTCAGAATAGCTCTATTATCTGTTTCTAGAACGATGCGTGGATAGAGCGATCATCTTTGCTTTCGTATATCAGTTCAGCGATTAAAAAGTAAAAAGAAAATAATTTATCGGAAGAAGGAAATGTTCTGTTTTATTCGGTTTTCTCTCTCTCTTCCTTCTCACTCTCTCTCTCTCTTTTTCTCTACAGATTAGTTTACTATATTGTGTACTAATGTGTCCACATATTTTTCTTATTTTGCTACAACTTATTCTATCAGTGTTTTTGTGGTCGTTTTTCCTCTATTATTTCTCTTTCCCTTAACCGAACATTTTCGTGTTTCTACTACATTTTTATTACACGACAGACTGCAAACAGTTGACTCTGTTCTAAAGTTACAAACATTGTCATTAACGACTAAACAAAGTAAGTAAGGCATATGGTTGGATAAAGTGACAAATATTTGTTTTTAAGACAGTAAACGTTCCATATCGTAAAAATGCCTTCTCAAATATCCGAAAACTCTTAAAAGAGTTAAATTATTCTTAGTGAAGTGAAGAGAATAATTTGATACGAATAATTTTCATTATCTTAGATAACTGACTGCTCATCACTTTTATAAGAACAAATCTACTCGTAAAATTAATAGTAAAAAAGGTGTTTTATCAAATTATGGACCACAATCATCCATTAACAACATCGGATGTTCATTTACATACAGATCCTAATTCAAAAACAAACGCTAGTTCATCAACTGTAATAGCAACATCTACAACAACAACAACAACAGGAACACAACATACTGACACACCCGGAACAAGCCATATACCTACCCAACATATAATTGGCTCACATACAACTGACGAACGTAATAATGATACCTCATCACACACCTCAACATTAACGACGCATAGTAAGAAATTTATCTTGTCTTTTTACAAATTTATACCAAATGTTACTCGTCATCATAAGATTGATTCTTCTGACTAGATTTATAAATCCCACTTGTAACATTTGTTAATGTTAAAAATAACTTCTATTCATCATAATTTAAACATTTAAAAACATATGTCTGAGCAATATAAATATTCATACACTTTCATTGCTGCCATTTGGTAATGCCATCTGAATACTAAGCGTTCTTTTTAAAACAATTTTCCAATGGAAACTATATCATTTTTTGATTTTTTAAAGAAGATAATGATGTTCAACAGAAAAAAGATGAATTATCGAATAAAGCACATGATATTAAAGAACAAGGAAAGGACAAGGCGCAAGAGCTGGCTGGCCAAGGGAAAGAAAAAGTGGATTCTGCCATTGAACAAGGAAAACAAATTGGATCAGAAATCGCTGATAGTGCGTCGAAACTGAAAGATCAAGCACAAGAGAAAGCAAATGAAGTTAAAGAACAAGTTCTACCAAAACTGGATGCTGCTGCTGAACAAGCAAAAAAAACGGGCGCTGGTAAGTTGTTGCTTCACTGACTTATCTTTTTCTACTCGTGAAAACAGACATAAAACGTTGTCACGATAATGATTATCAATCATTCCTTTACATACATTAATTTCACCTGTATATTCATATTTTAGAAGTAGCCGATATTACAGCACAAAAAGCAAATCAATTGAAGGACGCCGCAGAAGAGAAGGCTGCACAAGTTAAAGAGCAAGTGTAGGTTATTGATTGATTAAATGATCATTTCCTCCTTTGATAATTCGCTGATGTATTGTCGCTATCAGATCTGTGTTACATAACTAAACTAAGTCCACTAGTTATTTCGTTTTATTGTTTTAGACAACCGAAAGTCGATACTGCCATTGAACAAGCAATAAAGACTGGATCGGCAGTGGCTGATGCAACCGTTCAAAAGGCTGGTGAATTAAAAGATGCTGCAACAGAAAAAGCTGGAGAACTTGCGGATGGTAAATATTTTTTATCAGGCTGTTCTGTAAACTAAGCAACATATAAACTTTTTCTTTCAATCTACGATATACCGCTTCATCAATAGTTCATAATAGTTTTGTATATTGTAGCGGTGGGCGAAAAAGCTGAACAAGCCAAAAACGTAAGTTATGAACTTAATAAGTGATTCATGGGTATTTTGGGTTAAAAATAGTTTATACGTTGTTATACTACTAGCTTCTTTCAGCCAAATTTTTCACTGATTTTATGTTTATGTATTTTAGGCAATTGTTGAAACAGCGATCAGTGTGAAAGATGCCGTTTTACAGAAAGCAGATGAAGCAAAACACACCGTATGTATAGATAGATTACTTTTCTTCATTTTTAGTTATCTATATATGGGTTTGATCGATAGATGACGAAGAATCGTTTTTCTATTAAAGAAACTGTTTGCTCAAATTAGTACTTAGAGACTATTTTTTAATAAGAACATTTTTTAAAATAATTCAGTATTGAAACACTTAAAGTGACAAATTTAACAGACATGCATTTGAAAATATGTTTGTTTGATTTTGGATATACAGCGTAGTCTCAAACTTGTAACATGTTCGGCAAGTACTTAAAGAAAGGCATAGGAAGTTTGCTGTTTGTATGAAGATTTTGCAAATAATTAATTATTCTCCTGTTGAGGTTGTTGAAACTGTTCAAGGCGTTCCTGCTGCTTTAGCGGATGCTGCAGCTACTGTTAGTGGTTATGTTGGTGAAAAACTGGGCGAAGTGGGTCATTGGGCAGGAGAAAAAGCTGTCGCTGCGAAAGATGTCACAGTTCAAACATTGATCGTAAGTCATCCACCTTTTTTTCTTTCCTCAAAGACACTTTGATATTGCTGCAATCCGTTTAACTTTGACATGTACTTTATTTCATACGATGTTTAAATACTTTAGGATGTTAAAGATGCAACTGTCAAGTCGGCGCAAGACGCTATTCATTCAGGTACATCATCATAGTTTGTTAGATCTAAAGAAACTAATAAGTCATAACTGTCGCTGATTTTTAAATTTTTTGTCTGTAAAAACCTTTTTTAATAATTGATTATATAATTAACTATTCTAGTTGTTAGCATGGCGACTGATGCCAAAGCGAAAGCAGATGACGTAGGAGAAGGTATATTTATTATTGTGATTTATTAATCCTATACTATCTAATATCCTGTCTTTTTATATATATAGATATTAAAGAAAAAGGATCGGAAGCTGTTGATCAAGCAAAGCAGAAAGGTGAAGAATTGAAGAACAAAACATCAGACAAAGCTGAAGGCAAGTAGAATACTGTATATCATCATAAATAGAAGATTATATGTATTTTATCCGACTTCAGATGTCAAAGAGAAAGTTAGTGAAGGTGTTGATCAAGCCAAGGAGAAAGGTGAAGAAGTAAAAAAGCAAGCTGGTGAATTGAAACATGATATTCAACAAAAAAGTCATCAAATTAGTGATGCATCCCATTCACCATCATCAACATCCTCGTCGACTACTCCACATCAAACGTGTGATAAAACCGATCAATGTCATCAAGAATTAAATTCAAATAAAACAAATGTTACGTCTACAATTCCACCACAAGTAACTAGTACAGGTCATGTGGAAACAACAAAAATCGAAGTACATGAACAAAAAACAACTGGAATTACAGATACTACACCAACTCACTAACAAAAAAAATAAACAATAAAACTTTTTCCTACGTATGTCAATATTTTATTACATTATGCGTCGTTACATTTACGTAGCTTACCGATACTTTCGTTCGATTTCTTTCTGCTACTAATTTTTTTCGTTACTGTTCATTTTTATTAGTTGTATACTCTATAGCTCTCCGTTTTGTCTTGTGTGTGAATCTATCATCAATATCTCAAATTGCACTCATTATTATTTAAATTTTACGCATAGACATACATATTTGTTTATTGTCACTTGCTCAATAAAATGCATAAGCCGTTTGTAATTATAGATAAAAAAGAAATATAAACTATTTTGTTTACTCTTAAACAAACATTGTCAAAAATATTCTATTGCCCATTAATGAAAAGAGATTTGATCTATACACTGTCATAGTATTTAAGACGCAAGGAATTTGATCATAGTTTAATTAGGTACTATTAGTAAGGTCTGTCACTTTACTGAATAGATGTTTCTTGTTGGATTTCAACTAAAATTGTTTTCAATTGAGTTCAATATCAGTATTATTCACTTATAATCAACACAGAAAATTTGAACTCGGCTTTTATTCTGACAAAATCTGTTTATCACTGAAGACCTGATTATACACCCACGATAAAACTGCAGTTATTTACAATAGATTGTAAAGTAGTAGTATGTAGTTTCTATCTACATTTACTTTTTTTTAGTGATGATAGCAAGAGATCAATCGTACAGTAAAACACTTTGTTTTCCTTTGACTGTACAACATATGTTTTTCAATCCGTACTGTGTTTCCTTTTCTAATAAAGTAAGGTTTTAGTCCAAATTGTAACTGTCTGTAAAAGGGTGAACATCAAGTGAGTGTCAGAAAAACTCGTAATTATTATTATCTTAACACCTGATATAGATCGCGAGTGCCAGTAGTTCTGATTTGTTTATCAAAAGAAGATAGTTTATGACATTTGCGGTGACATCAGGCAACATAGACGCCATGTTGAGTGACATTGCAATTATTACGATTGAGTGAATCCTTTCTGTTATTCGGATTCGTTTCTGTTTCAAAGTACTGATAATCAAATTTTAACTTTGCTCCCAACATTTGCATATTAGCTATTCATCGACACAATCTAATTCTTACCTGTACCACTAACAGGATAATCATCAGAATAACCACCGGGTGGTGCACATGAAGTAGCATCATCAACCAATTTAGTATTTGATGTACCTAAAATAATCATAATTTGTCAGTGATTAGATAAACAGCGAATGTTCCCTGTTACTCATACTTAAACGATATGATGGATGACATAAATATTTTGATCGATACTGAGCTGATTTTGAAACAAGTTCTTCCTAAAATAAATAGTAAAAAAATTAAACGATATTGTAGTTAATTTAAAGAAAATACCATCCACACTTACGTCTCGTAACGTTAACGTTATCTTTAAATTTCGACAAAAACTATCAGCAAATTCGGGATACATATCAATTACTTCCAATAGATCATCACGATGTATTTTATGTAAATCACAATAGGTGAGAGCACGAACATTGTAAGCTGATTTGCCTGGTACACGATACAAAAGTGAATTTTCACCGAATATATCATCTTTTGATAGAATAGCCACAACATTGTCATCTTTTAATATTTCAATTGAACCACGTGAGATAAAATATAATGATGTTAGGATATCTCCACGATGAGTCAGTATGTCACCCGGTGGTGCATGTGTTGTTTTGAATTTCATTGAAAATGTTCGTAAACAACCTTCACTGGCATCTGGCAACGTAACATGAGATTAAAATTAAGATTAAAAGTGAATAAAAGTGTTCTTAGTTACCCTTAAAGGCTGGACAACATTTAAGTAATTGACTGTTTAAATGTAAACATATATCAGCTTGTAAACATTCAGGAAAACCTAGAAGAACAAAATAAAATAAAAAATTTGAAGAGGCTTATCAGTGTTTACCTTTTAGCACCATATTCATATCAATTCCATTTGTATAATTCCATGCATGATTAAAATAATCTTCAAGACGCTGTCGTAATGGATTTGGAATTTGATGAAAACGAATAAATTCTTTAACTCTATAATAATAATTATAATCATTTGTCAGAAAACGATTGGTATATTAGTAAATAATTAATTACCTTAACATTTGAATTTGATATCTTGCTGTTCCACTATAAAGTCGTTGAATAATGGCACTCACATTACCGAATATACTGGCATACATTAAAGCTAAAATTAAATAAAGATAGTCGTTAAATAACACAGTTAAACTTCAATAGACAATAACATATGATACAAAGCAACAAAGCAAAATCATACTCAAAAATAGGATAAAAATAAGGATAACATTGAAAAGCGCATATAAAACATGGACATGCATAAGCTTCACATAACAACGATAAAAATAATCGTAATAAAAATAATAAAAAATATAAAAATAATAAAAATCCTCGCAAACAATCTAAATCCATACATAACTAACACATTCACTGCCAGGCGTTTCAAATTCTATGGCGTGAATACGTCATATGATGTATACGGCAGCGAAAGTGTTAACATCTCTTCTCTTTCCTTGAAACTCTTTATCTAGACATTAAAAGAATCATTGCAATTCAATTGAGTATTTTTATTTTATTTTTATTTAAACACGTTCTTGCTGGTATTCAGTTTAAACATTTCACTTGTTTGTAACTACTCATGCTCATATAATTTGTTTAGATATTATTAAAATGTTTAGTATCATAATTTGTACATGCTGAATACGTTTATGCTCTGATTACTCACAGCCAATCAACATGACAAATATAGAAAATATTTTTTCCATATCTGTATTTGGGCTAACCTATAAAAGTATCAGTAGTTCTATCATTGAATTAATTCTAAAATGCGCAGAACTATTAATTTTCAAAAGTGACTGACAGGATTACTGAACAGATTCAAGAAATGATTTCTTAAATAGATTTAATTCTTTAAAAAAAATCATCTGATAAAATAAAGGAAGATTCGTGTTTTAAATTGCGATAACATTTGTGATTTATACAATAAACTGTAGTCCTATAGAGAGAATCTAACAGTAGTTTTTTCCTATTTCTTGTTTTATCTTTGTTTCGAACAGAAGTGCGCCAGAAACATGTGATTGTCTCATTTTGTGATGAAGACTATGTTTAACAAGACAGACATATCAGAGATTTTCTAGAACTATTGGTTATGGAGATAATGCGAAGATATTCAACACTATTCTTTAGGAATTTTTTTTGAACAATTGCCATTTTGTTGCTATATCTCCACAATCAAGAGTTATACGGATCTCTAACATGTCTCATCTTGTTAAGCGCACTCTTTGTCACAACATGAGATAATCGCAAGCTCTTGACGCTTCTTCTGTTCGAAAAATGCAAAGATAAGAAATAGCGAAAAAAGTATTGAAAAACAAGTTATGTGAAATAGTTTTTCAATTATTTCTCTATTGTTTTTGAAAGTTCTAGAACTTACATTTCCAAAGCCGACTGATGTCAGAGAGCTGAATGTAAAATAGAGTGCTGTAACATATTTTGATCTTAAATTTGGACCACCCATACAATTTTGTCCATATTTCATTGTTCTGTTGTTATTCATTGAACAATTATAATACTGACCAGTTACTGTGGCTAATTCATCTAACCATGTTATACGGGATCCTAAACAAGCACACACACACAACAAATACAATAGCACAACATCAAAAGAAAACAACTATTTATTCTACATATGGGCCACAAAATAAAATACTAACATCTAATCGATCTTTGCTGTACACTTACATCCTACAAGCATAATTATTATGCTAAACCCTTTTTCACTATTTGTATTTGGACTAAATAAGAAATGAAATACTTTCTTTTTGTATCAACTATTATTTACAACTGTAAAATAGTACCTAACGTTGCCAAAACCGACTGATGTGAGAGAACTGAATGTAAAATAGAGTGCTGTGATATATTTTGATGTTTTTGTTGGTCCACTAGTTGGATCGGAATCGTTATAATATTGATGAGTATGGTTAGCAAGTTCAGCTAACCATCCAATTAATCTCTCATTTCCTATAATTGACATTATTTAGATGTCTTTGTAAGAAAATTAAAAATATTCCTATACTTATGAACATCTCAATTGTTATTGAGATGTTCTTGAAATGACTGATGATACTTACCATGGTTATTTCTCTCGAGCCTTCCGATTGCATACCTGAAGAAGGCAAGTTAAAAGTCTATCCTCTGAGATAATCTTAAATGAGTGTATACTAACCAAATGCACGCAAGCCAATGGGCAATCAAGGCAAATGTTGCCGTTAATAAAATAAGAACGCCGACACCATATTCAGAATAACGATCAAGTTTTCGAGCTATTCGAACCAAACGCAATAGACGAGCCGTTTTTAACAAGCCCATTAGTGCGGTACTCTATATGAGAAACAAATAAACGTCCACAAATTGTATCCACTGCTAAGAATTTCAATTTCTATGGATATCTACCAGGGCTGGGGGAGTCCGAATTCGAACTCGGATTCAAACTTTGAGTATTTCAAGTCCGATCGTTTTAAGTTTTTGGATAAATGAATAGAAAATTGTGAGTTTTCACTTGAGTTTTCGTTATTCTGCGTTCAAATATGAGCCAGGCTTGCATTTATCGTGCAATTCAGTGATAGCCTACACCTGCTCATTCAATATCGAGAACATTTTTTACTCGCTCTAAATATTACAATGACTACTGCACTTTGTTTGCTGGTAAATAAGAAAAATAAACCACAACAATAAAAAAGAAGCTAAGCATTATCAGACTCGGTTATAAGTGTTTCGGATTTGGACTCGATACCTCCGAAGGCTCCTCCGAACCCGCCCAACCCTGATATCTAGGATGTCATTCATTAAGACACTTTTCAAGTAAAACAATTTGGTCAATAACAGTTTTATAAAATTTCCTCTTGAAAATTCTTACTTCTCCTCCACCTTTAGCTTGTAT